AAGATAAGTCTTTATTAGACGTGAAAGTCATTCGTGAAAGGGCCTATAATCATTTCTCACAATTTAATCTCATCTATAAGCTGCAGTTGTCTACTTTATCTCAATTCATTCTGGCACAAATATTTTCTGTCATTTTACTTAATTCATCCGCAGAGTTCTCAATTATTGATTGCTGCCTACTAAATGGACTCTTTTTCCAAGATAATAAAACCAGAAAATTTAAAAAAAATTTAAATTACCAATGCAGTATCTGCATCCCTATGGTATGAGCCTACTTTCTTCACCACACAATGATTGACGCCCTCATAAGTAAAAATTATCGACGGATTATATTTGTGCCTTAATACACATCGAATGCAATTTGCTTAATCTAATGAGTAAGAAGATGCGTTGGCATCTCAAAAAAGCCCTTTTCTGGTCATTATTCTGTCTTAAGTTTAAGTATGCTTCCTAGGCACTGAGTCGTCATTCCTCCGTATAGGACCCTTGTTTATTGGATTCGTGATTGTTTCTATATTTATATTTAAATAATAAGCTTGCAATCATGGCTCTTGTGATTACTGAGCCGTTTTCTCTAGACTTAGACTTTTGATTGATACGATTCTCTCTTACCCTTCTGTAAATGGTTTGCTGAGAAATCATTAATTTTGATACGTTGATAATATAAATATTATAGTCTTCTTATTGATTAGACGGGAAAATTTTCAGAGTATATTTTAGACTCCCGATTTGTGTTGTTTTTACAAGACTTCTACTTGGGCTTTTTTAAGTTAAGTGGTATTGCTTTTCAGATTACCCAATATATTTTTCTTGATAGAAAATAATTCTAAATCCATTTTCGAGATTGCATAAAATAATAATCAATGGTTGTTTAATTATTTTTTTCTGAAAACTTATCGCAACTGATGAACTAAGTAGTTTTTCTCTATTTTTGCATTTAAGTATTGTTTCAAGACTACCAGTAAATCAGTTATATGAGATGTATTCACCAAATTTAGTTTAAGCCGATGAAGGACTGGTAGAATAATTTTGCCACAATCATATGAGTAGAGCTGACGTTTCCTTTGAATTTCACATAGCCTTGCTTTACTAAAAGCTGTTCTCATCCAGGGTGGACCGCAGTTTCGACCTCGCATCGGTCTAATCAAGACCCCAGCGGGAGTCGAACCGTGACAGTGCAGAATGGGAGCTTGACACGCTAACTACTCGGCCACATTTCCACGAGTGCCCTTGGGTCACAGGGCAAATGTGAAACATACGTATATTTGCTATAACAATCGACTACGTTAAAATATCTTTCGCATTTAAGTATTGTTTCGAGACGCGAGGTCGAAACTGAAGTCCAGCCTCGGTGGCAACAACTTTTGGGAAAGCAGGGCTATGTGAAATTTAATGGAAACGTCAGCTCTACTCATATGATTATTCCTTCATCACCTTAAGCGAAATTGAGGGAATACATCTTATATTAGTTTTTTCTCTGTTGAAAGAAAACAGCTAATTTAGGGTCATTAAAATAAGAAAACACATAGAAGAGATTGAAGCTAGTCAATGTAAAATTGATCCATATCATAAACACATTTTGAAGGAGAGGTTTTTACGGCATTCGAAACCAATACTTTGCATATTTCTTACGATTGAAGTAGCTACTATATCATCTATATAAAAGAAACTAGTTAAAGAATACTTTGGTTTCTAATTGTAATGACAATAGAAGATTAAGTTGGTTGCCTTAATTTTATTCATTACAATGACAACGATTTTTGAGTTCCATTACAAAATCTCCCTCTGCAACTTTGAAACAGCTAAAAAAACTCCCACAAAACTATGTCGATTAATGAAAGTGCAAACTATGCTTTTGAAGATATGTCTACACTAGTTGAATAAATCTGACAGAATAAACTCTTAGTACCTTGACTAGAGTAGATGGTTTAGGCTAAGTTAAATTATTAAGAACAAATTTTGCCTCAATCAGTCTATTTATTGTTAGTAAGCAAGCTGGCCATTGCTATCAGCAATGAGCTTACAACTACAGCCACTAGTGATGATTCATTGAAGGCTAAAATAGAGAGGATGCTTGATTTTGCCATCGCGTTTTATCGTATCGTGCATCTTCAAAGAATCACATTCAATATGGAATGTAGTTTTGGCCCCACTGATCTTGCTAGTACGCCAGGCAGAACGCAGAAAGTGAGCTATCAGATGGGGGAGAGCAAACACTTTACTCCTCAGGTTCTTCATTTCTTGTCCTGCTGACTTAACAGACAAAGCAGTCCTCTCGACTTGCATCTATATCAGCCTTAAAACGTGCCTGCTTTAATTTGTAAGTAATTTACATCGTGTAGCTAATGTGGGCTAGGCTCATTTTGCCTCTGGGTTAAGGCATTTGCTTTTTGTCTTCATATACAAGGTATAGATTCAGCGAAGAGCATTGTTCTTACGAGGTAAATCCTTTGAAAAGTGTGACTTAGTAAACTTAAGTCGCGAAATCAAATTGTATTTTGTTTTAATTGGAGGCTACATCAGTATCAGTGTCACTAACATTATATGAATATATTTAATCCTATTTACTAAGTCTCTGTTTCCGATAAGAACTTGTGTTTGCTTCTTTTTCCATATTAATTTACAATAATGACCTTAGAAGAGTTAGTATATATACAGTTGAATCGAGAACGCCAAAAGATGTCAAGTGGTTGACCTTTAGAAGCATGCACTCGTTGTTCGCTTACTTGTCAAGTAGCATTTTAGCTCGCACTTTTACAATAGGAGAGCATATTTAACTTAAGTTATCTGATTTTTTCAGTGCATTTTTCAAGTAACACGTCAAAGTAAATAACACGTTAAGCTAAGCTTAATGCTTTTATAGCACTATACACTTACAACCGAACTTAACTTTTAGATCTGTTATTAAGTTTATTTTATGTTTTTGTTCTAAGGCACAACTTACCTATCCCATTTTTCTATATTATCATTTTGTTCGCTTAAGAGAGAGGAGTTTTACCAACTGTGCCGCATTTCGTATATATTTACATGTGTGGCTCAAAATTGCACAGATTATCTCACTGAATTGTGATATTGCCTGAATTGACTTTTTCAGCTCGCAAGTTTTCTTAAAAGAATCGGGCCTTCAACGCAACTTAAAACATATGGGGGAATAGAGTGAGCTTTTTTAACTATTCTTAAGCTCTATTTCTCGATTTTATGCATCTGATGCAGTTCTGTCCTTGAGTAGCCTAAGATATTTTGCCACAATGCATCCTCACATTTGATCTCTAATGGGACACCTGTCCCTTGCCTATTCGTATTTCAGGTGCCATGGCTTCAGTACCATCTTTTAGAGAGTTGTTGCCAGAGCACTATTATTTCTTCAGCACATCTTTAAGCCAAGGCTTAGACTATAAAGAATAAACAAAGGTTTGAGGACCAAGATGGTGTGGCCTCCGGTATGGGCGCAGTCTCCTTCCGATTTATAGAAGTGGGTTGACTTCGTTGTCGCAATTTGGTTATGTTGTTCGGGCGACTTAGTAGAACGCACCTAGTGCGAAGTCTTCTGCCAGAGTAGTTATCATAATTCCCAGCTTCAGACAGTGGACTTTGTACATTCTCAAACGTTTCGCCGGTATCGTAGTCGGCCTCATCAGTGAGTACTGCCTTTATCTGCACCAAGCTACGAACTCGTCGAAGAGACAGATGAAGTCAATCCCTCGACAAACGTTCTGCCGAAAACGGTTACACTATCACTCCTCTTTCTGTCCTGGCCTATCTATCTACATTTACTTTCTTATCAAACTCCCGTCCTATCACAACTTCTCACTTGTTTACATTCCACTCGTTAAACTGTGTGCCCTTTTGTGGCAAATCTAGTGTGGCCTCGTCTCACTTGCTATTAACCCCGACCCCTTCTCTTACGATCTGCTAATCCCACTCGGGCCTCCTATCCTTATCTCCCTTAGTCCCGTAGATCCTTCCTTATCTTTCTGGTTAAGCGATTTCACTCGGTTTCAGTTCCAATGTGTGTTTGACTCCAGGCGCTATTTCTCAAGGTCATAGAGGCACGTACACTGTTGCTTTACTGAGCAGAGCGCCTAAGCTCTAATTTCCATGCTTGCAGATATCAGGCCTTCCCTTCACGGGTCCTCTTTTTGATTAAACCCATGTTATCTAAGCAAACTGTGGACTCCTATCTCTGGTCGTATGCTAGATCTCAAATGGATTTATAGTACACTTTGCCATACCGTTCAATTTTTGTGATGGTTTACTTATCCGCTTTCCTAGCTCCCTGATTGCCAGGTCCCCAAAGTTGTACTGGTTTATTCAAAACGAACATCACGCATTGACAACGTCTTCGCTTGATTTCCGAAACTCCCTGCCCCCCACTTTTCTCATCGTGATCCCTTTTTCTCCGGTTAGCGATAGGTTTCTGATCTAGGCGTCTCCTTGAAAACACAGAGAAGCGTAAGAATAGGGAGGCCATTGACATCCTTGGGGAGAAAAATCTAATGAACAAGAGATTGGAGGAAGGTAAAGTTAGCAATAACTTCGCCAACTGCTTAAGCAAACTCAGGGAAAACAAGAATAGAGCAAGACGAGCTGTGATTGTTCAAACAACTAGCCAAAGTGATTACCAAGAGGTGGTAATCACGGAAAGATATAAAAAATCGGCTTGGAAATTAATATATATTTAAAAATAAAAATTTATATGGGTTCATGACATTAAATACTTGTATTAGCGAATTCTCAACTTATATATCTAGTGTGCAATTTTTATTTAAATAATTCTTAAACCGGTTTTATGTTAATAACGTTTTTTCTCTAACCATTTTATTGACAGCTTATAATATACAGATTAGCAGACAAACCAAAAATAGTGATTAATCCATTTTTATTTCAGAACTCCATTTTCTTATTTTATTCCAATTGCTTACCTGAAATTTTACTGACGAAAGTATCCTTACTTACTCTTTACTTTAAGCAAATTGGACATTGAGCATCCTCCACGTGTTATGACTGAAAGCAACGATTGCTCATCCTCTGTAATTGGAAGGATGTTGGCGCCACCGGGTAGTGGCCTGGTCTCCCGGTCCACGCCAACTCTATGGGCTACACTGTCATCAAGCACTTCAGTAAGAGATAACAACTCCAATCTACTGCACTCAGAATTAACAAATTCGCACAAACAAGGAGTTTTTCAGCCCTCCATGGATGGGTCTTTTTACTCTGCTGCCCCGTTTCGGCCGCTCCATATCCAGTCCAATGTTCCTGAACGTGCTGATAGTGCTGCACCATTGTACAGCAGAAAGGTGTCAATATTATCAACAAGAAATACTACCGATACCAATTCCTGTTGTGTATGCAGAAAATTCATTCTACCTTTGCCATTAGTTTCAGCTGTCTGCAATTTATGCCAGGCAAGAGCATGCCGGGACTGTTTCAAAAAGCTGCGAAATAACAGTGTGCTTTGCCTTAATTGCTTCAAGAATGCGTAAGGTTTGAGCTTGATACAGAAAATAATTTTACCTTTAGTATTCCGAACTTTCTATTCTAGAGCTGGCCTCATCGTATATAGCTAGCTAATCTACGTAGCCTATTTATTATCTTTTAAATTTCTGATAATTGTGGTGAGGAGGTCTTAATAGTCCTCCCTGAATGTCGTAAATAGGGCTACAATAATTGAAATTAATCAACCCACAAGTAAACTTTACCCACACTGCTAAAGGTTTACCACTCCAATTTGACTAGTTGTACTTCAAGCCATAATCTTAGGCCTAATAAACAGATAAAATTTAAAGAATCTGTTTAATTTGCGTATTTATCAGAAGATATATAAAGCTAATTTGTTGTGTGTGTTCATGATTAAGTTGAATACGCATTGCGATAAAAGGGAATGAGGAAGAGAGAGAGTCTAAGCAGGGCAACCAAATAAGCTCCCTGGAGTTGTTCAGCCAATGTATTGGCACTAGTGAATGGGACGCTAAGAAGGCGCAGCGAGGATATGTGGCGTTGATTTGAAATCGGTGTAGCGGAAAAATCGCATTGCTTCTGCGGAATAAGTGTTTTGTTGTAGATACAAACACTAAAAAACGGCAATTAAAAGTCTTTACCTGAGCAGTAAACACTGGCTGAGTGCAATACTCCTTACTAGGAGGCTTGGCTGACTTGAACCACCGCAAATGCAGACAAGGGATGGAGCTGAGTACAAGAGTGTGGTACACTTAGGAAAAGGCATGTGAAGCTCCACGTATTTGACATGCAGAAAAATAGTGGCTAGGTTGAAAATGCTAATTTGTTACAGTGAGAAGCTTCAGGCTGTAGATAAGATGAGCGACGAGAATCTTCACAAACAAAACCTGAGGAAAATGCTGATGTAGAAGAGAGCATCACATGCAATGGCAATGTATAGGGATGAAGCCTGATAGCAAGAGTCAGTCTCTGCAAAGGAGCCCGGATCTTGTAAATAAGTAGTTGGGTTTTCCCACCATGATATGAAGGGGCCTTACTTTTCCATGGAACTTAACATAGTCTTGCTTCTCGAACGTTAATCTCATGTGGGGAAGAAAGGCTATGAGAAATTTAGTAGAAATGTGAGGCCTATTCATATGATTGTGGGAAAATTCAACTACTATTTCTTCATCACCTTAAATAGGATAGGGTAAAAACGGTTCTTATTCCAAATATAATGGTAATCTTAAAAACCTACTTAAAAGTAAGAATTATTTGGAAATAAAAATAATTAGCTTCTGGTGATTTTAAGAAGTTATATTTAGGTGCATGCGAATGAGTCAAGATAAGGCTTCATTTAAACGATGGATGTTGCTATGTCCTATATGTAAATGGGTGGATATATCCTTTATAATGCTGGCTTAAGTGTAATTTATCAGCACAGCCAGTGGTGTTCGACTTTAAAAGGTTAAATCAAGAGGCAGCATATAATAAGTAGTAAATGCCTCTTCTCAAGGAAATTGTTACCACAGATTCATATGGTCCTGGAAATACGCATATGCTTTGGACGTTAGGCCATCAACATCCACTAGAAATCTTGGAAAATGCAATTATCAGTTCTGAATCAACTTAGGCGAAATAGGTTGAATGCAGTTCTAATTCTTATTTGAAAATAAACCTTCATTGACAAAAGCATATAATTAGTATTTTAGCAAAATAATTGTAGCTAGCAGCATCATGACAATGTCACCGCCTCAGATTAAATGGCGTAATTTTCAGAGCACTAAACAATCAGTGCGGAACAACTCTTAATTCAGCACTAATATAGTATTCAAAGTTTTTTGCATCAGTATTTTGAGATGAAGTCGACCCTCATTTGACAGCTTTGAGGCTTTGTAGAAAGAAGCAGCTTAGAAAGTAGCTTTGTTGGGGAGACTTTCATTTCATATGAAAGTGCATAAAGAAGAGATTCTTAGGCCGATCTCACCAGATGAGGACGGCCATTTGGCTTTAATACAACGTTCAGGTTGACGCAGTCCACGAGACTTCCCATGTTTCTGATGAAAACGGGCTGAGTTTTCGTCCATGATATTATGGACAACATCAGAGCTGGGTTTCATTCTTGTAATAGTCTCACGTTAACATTATGGCAAGAACACTATTCGGCTCTATCTTACCTCTTATCTAGACTCAATTAAGCCAAAAGAAAATTAAAAACCTAGATAGATATAGATTGGTCTGGCTAATTATCTTTCATACTTGTCCTGCTACTTTTGCTCGAGTGTATGCATGTGTGCGTTAGCGTCTATAAGCAATACCGGTCCTAAATCAGAGTTATCAAAAGGTTAAAGTTACGATCTGATCATC